AATTTCTGGTACTGCTTTAAAAGAATTATTGACACATTTCAGCACTTTACATGTTCTGATTTCTTGTCCTGTGGAAATTTTCTTTTTCTCTTTTTTTTTTTTTTTTTTAACGAATAGCTAATTTTCATTGGTCCCATCTGGAATATTTGACATCTGAATAATAATATTATATACATAGAATTTAAAGTCACGGGGAGGAAGCTGGGTGTCTTGCTGAAAATATTCAAGCATTGCTTTTCAAAATAAAACTATAATTTTAGTCAGAGTTCATGAGGACTGAGCACCAGTGTTCCTCCAGTGAAGATTTTCAGTTTGAAGCAGTGATTCTCAGCCTAGGGTAGTTTTGTTCCCCGGGGAAACATTTTTGGTGGTCATAACTGGTATTACTGGCATCTGTTGGGTTGAGACCAGGGATGCTACAAAATGTCTTGCCACACACATGACAGCTGCCCACAGCAAAGAACCATATGACCCAGAATATCGGTCCTGCTACTGTTGAAAAAGCCCGGTCTAAAGTTTGACAAGAGGGACACACAAAATCAAAAAAAGATTATTATGGAAGAATCAAGACTGAAGGGGGACAAAAATGCTGCAAGTAACTGTGCTAGGTTTTCTACATACATTTGCCCAATCATCTTATTTTCACAGCTGAGGAACCCGGTTCCACGGGTTCCCTATGGCTTGCCCAACATCAGCTGTACGTGATGGAGTGGGAAGCAGAGCCAGCACTCTTCACTCTTCCCCAGTAATGTCACCTTGTGCTTCCTGGCAGGGCCTTCTGGTGGCCTCCTCCTTCCTGAAAGCTCTTACCAGTTAACTTGCTGAAGACCCTTTGATGCCTTCAGGATTGGCACTGCCAGGTTTAGCAAAGATTGTGTTAGACCTTGATCCTGTTTAATAACTTAGACCCCCTTAGGCTGGGGATTTAGCTCAGTGGTTGTGCCAGCTGCCTTGCAAGCACAAGGATCGGAGTTCAATCCCTGGTACCAAAAAAAAAAATAGACCCTCTTTGAAAGAAATGTATCTTAAAAAGAAAACATAAACCCAGGATTATATGAATTAGCAATCATGATAGATCAGACGCTCATTGGAATACTGTGAAATGAGAAAAGGCCAAAGGGAATTTGCTTCATTTCTTTCAGTTAGCTAAAGGTGCACTGGACCTGATTTCACACAAGGATATGCCGGACAGGATAGGCAGCTCTGTAGCTAAAAGCTTTGGAAGGGAAATGAGCAAGATGAGGGCTTTCAAGAGTTCAGGGTGTGGGGTACACACCTGTAATCCCAGCTACTTGGGAACATGGGGCAAGAGGATCACAAGTTTAAGGCCAGGGCCAGGGATTTAGCTCAGTGGTTCCACTGCCTGCCCCAAAAGCACAAGGACCCAAGTTCCATCCCCGGTACCAGAAAAAAAAAAGACACAAGTTTAAGGCCAGCCTGGGCAACTTAGCGAGAAGGTGTCTCAAGATAAAAAGGGCTGGGGAGTAGCTCAGTGGTGGAGTGCTTCCTTAGCATGTTGTAGGCCCTGGGTTCAATCCTTAGTATGGGGGGGTCGGGGTGAGATTGTCCAGAAGAGCCTTGCTGATGGAGAGATTGTTTGTGTGTGTGTGTGCGCGCGCGCGCGCGCTGGCAGCAATAATAATACTCCTTGCCCTGAAGCCTAGGGCAGAGGGCTAGTCCCTCTGCGGTCCAAGGGAAAAAGAAAGGGAAGTGATAAGCAAACTAGAAAACATTAATGATAGAATTAAAGATGGACTAGGGGAAGTGTGCTTGAGGCAAGAAGTTTGAGAAAAGCAGCCAATGGCCAGAGGTACTGGCCTGTATCCCCAACATGGTACTCTGTTCCGCCTGACATAGATTGCTAGGGCTCCTTCTAGCTTTCAATTTATTTGTTCCTTTATCTACTGCTTAGGACCTCCTTTTCACAGATCTAACAAGGACCTCGGTTTCTTTGGCTGCTGTGCGCAGCAGCGGCCTGCACATTGTTGGTCTTTCCTCCCTCCCTTACTAAGCAGTTGGGCTTTATACGGCTGTAGCCCACTGCATTCGTGTTTATGTAGTCAAAGTCTTCTTCGTTCATTGCAATCTTACCACCATGCTGTTTGCTCCAGACTTTTACAATTCAGTTGTCTTGGACTCCATCCTAGGCCAGTATTTACTGAAGTACTCAGAGGGCCTCTTTACGAGGCATGGACTTTATTATGAAGTTCCCATGCTTGGTTTAGCTCCCTCTCCTCCTCTAGGACAAAGACCGTGCCTTCCTGTTCTATTGTAATTCCCTGTGGTGGGTCGGGCCAAGTTGTGTACCCCATGGGCGCTCAGCAAATGTGTTGCTTGATTTGGGACTGATTATTTTATGTGTATGAGAAGTGCCTATCTTGAAAGATTTTGGCACTTAGCTCGAGTTTAGAAAACTGCTTCATCTCTTTCCTTAGTTTACTTGATACCCCATATCTCAGAACACAGGGTGATTTCATCTTTTCCTAAACAAGCTTTCTGTTAGTTCCTAAATCTCTTGGTCCAGCTTTTCTTAGCGACCCCCACTTCTCTTGAATGGAGAGAAGGCCAGGGACAAAATGGATCTCAGGTTTTGTTTGGTTTTGACATGTTTTTCTATGCACACTGAAAATCAATACTATTTTGATTCCTATCTCCTCTTTCCAGAGGCTTAAAATCTACTGAGGGCCTCTCTGGTCTCCAGCCTCGCCTTCTCCCCCTGTACCAAGACACCACCCAGATCAGCAGTCAGCAAGCGATCAGTCTTGAAATGAGTCTGTGTCTCATGTGAGTTCTCAGGTCATTTCCCTGGTTTGACAAATTGTCTCAGATAAGCATCTGCCTATTGTTTTACCCACTGGCTCCTAGCAAGTCCTGGCTCCCAGTTGTTCGTGGAGAGCTGTGAACAGTGGAGCTTGCCATGGGCTTTGATCTCTGCTCCAGGGGCCAGTGGGATGACTTCAGGGCTTGGGTCCTTGCCGAGAGTGATGTATGCTTTGTTAGACTTGTTTACCTCATGGTTAGGACCCAAGTGCCTGCCCAGAGAAGGGAACCACATGTTTATCCTCTGTTTCAGGGCATTGTTCTTCACTGACTCCACTGGTCTCAGAATGTGTCTCTGCTTTTGTTTCCTTGGGGCTTCTCAGCAACTTTCCCCCTACCTGGCACTGCTCAGACTTGCTCACCCTCAGGCCCTTTCCCAACTTGGTTTTTGCAAATTTGCAGTTTCTGGGGTGCCTGGAGCCTGGCTGGGCTGGGGATGTGCCCTTCTTCTACCTCCACCCCACCCCAGGCTGTGTCTGCAGACTAGCACTCAGCAGTGACCTTCCCTCCCCTCTGCAGCTGTGCTGGCTTCAGACTGCCGACCAGGTTGAGTCTCATCCACATCCCATTCTCGGGTTGGTCTCTGTTCTGTACAAGTGGATCCGTGTGTGGGGTGACGCAGTTTCTTTCAGGTGGAGGAACCTAGCTGGTCTTTGAATTGATTAGTGACCACAGTGTTCTCTGGAGAAAGTCTCAGGGCCTTGCTGGCCCTCCTTTCTCCTTTGTCTGGAGTTGGACACAGAGGGCATCTCAGGTTGGTTGTTTTAGAGTAATGAGTCTTCATGAATGGATTGCCCAGAAAACAAACGGGGACCAATTCCAGGCAGTCTGGGTCCAATTAGATGTCGGTCACAGATGCTGCCATGGGCCTCTGGCTGGGTTAGAATTTCCTTTTCTCCTTAGACAAACCTTTGTCTTTTTATTGTTTATTTTTTTATTACAAAAGCAATATATGTTTGTTTTAGAAACTGGAGAAATGCACATAGACAAAAAGAAGAAATCAGAAGCACCTACTTCATGAGGGATAAGCAGCAGGTCTCCCCTGCCATCCCTGCCCGCTGTGTGCACAGGATGGACATTGCCTAGGGAACTGCGTACAGCGTTCACTGATTCTAAAAGTGATGGACCGTGGGCTCTTTCTGGTCTGTCTCTTGCCTTGGCCAACACTGAGTAAAACCATGGTAACCAAGCTGCTGTTTAAATAGGGTTTTATATTATGAGTGACAGTTTGCAGCCTCACTGTGTGGGCCAAGTTTTCTCGTGCAGTATTTAGCAGTTAGAAAGGGACTGTGAGAGTATTTTGTACCCTAAAAATAGCCAGCGTTTATTGAGCAGTTGCTTCATACCAGTTCCTAGCTAATGGCTGTGGCTTCTCTCTGTCTAAGGAAACTGGGAGAACCAGAGAGAACCCCAAGGACATTTGCTGGATGTGGCCTGTTAGCTTGTTCTTCCTTTGCTCTTGGTGTTGTAGTTGTGCATCCTCGCCAGGTGTAGGAAGTGCCCACAGGCTGATGAGTGTATTTAGCTATCTTGCCTCGGGTTCTCTACCACTCCTCAGACCTCGGCAGGCCCAGGCTGAGGGAGTCACTCCCAGTTTGAAATGGCATTGCTGTCCTTCTGGTGCCTGCCTTTTCCATCACCCTCTCCAGCATGCACAGCAACGGTGTCCTGAAAGAGGGGTAGAGGACAAAGCAGAGCAGAGAAGTGAACTCACACAGCCACCTTCATGTGTGTGGTGCTGGGGATGGAAACAGGGCCTGAAACATGCTAGGCTAGTGCTGCACTCCTGAGCTATAACCCTGGCTCTTTGTGCAGAAGGAGCACAGCACCCGGGCCGAATTTTAGCAGTGAACTCATCTCATGGATTAGCTGCTGTGGGGCCACTGTTAGCTCGGTGCTGTGGTTTTTGTTGTTGTTGTTTTGTTGGGGTTTTTTTGTTTTTCTAGTACCAGGGATCAAACTCAGGACATTGCACTTGCTAGGCAGGCACAGCGCCACTGAGCTAAATCCTAGGCCCTGTTTTTGTTTTTGAAACAGGGTCTCGCTTTGTAGTATAGGCTGGCCTTGAACTCACTATGTAGCCAAGGCTGGCCTTGAACTCGCAGCAATCCTCCTGCTTCAGCCTCCCAAGTGCTGGGATCACAGGTAGGTCCCACCACACCTGGCTTTTAGTGCTGGGTCTTAGACTGAAGCCCTTCACAGTCACAGCCACCTCTAGTTCTCTGCATGAAGGGACTTTGCAAGGGGTACTTCTGAGGAGTCTTCTGCCACACACACACACCCCAACTATCAGGTCACTCTTGCCAGCCCCCGGGGTTGGGGGGCAGGATTGTACCAGTTCTCTCATGAAGGCAAAAGCATAGAGAGACCCCTAATCCCAGAGGGAGTACTGCTGAGCATCCAGGGTTGCCCCAGCAGCCTCCAGGTTGCAAAGTGTTGGCATGAGGGGTGGGAGGGCCTGCACAGTTGGTCCCAGGTGGGGGTTGTGGGAGAGCACAGCCCGAAGGCTCTTCTTTTCTGCCTGTGTAGGGCTGGAGCTGTTATCTGAGACGCCCTGTCCCTTATTAAATGGCTGACCTAATTTTTACCCTTTATCTCTGCAGTGGTGGAGACCCAGGAAGGGAAGACAACTATAGTAAGTATCATCAAGTTGGCCACTCAGAACTTCTCAGCTTTTGGAGCTGCCTGACTGCTCCTTGGGGGAGGCAGAGGCCCACACCAGGCTCTGGGCTCTGGGCTCCTGGCTCAGCTCCCTCTGTGACCATAAATCCCACAGTCTACTATTTTCCAAGCTGTGTGCTATAGTGTGGTTAATCAGGAACAGTTGCTGTGCCTGGGCCAAAGAATCTGTTATGATTAAAGTGACCTTTTGCATGACAAGGTCTCAGAGGCCTTTGCTAATATATTCTCTGGCAAGTGATAAATCCAGCTCTCAAAGGGGAAACCAAGGCAGTGAAATAGACCTAGAGAGCCACAATTAAGTTGACTCGGAGCCAAGGTCCCTTCTTTTCTGCCCAGAGTAACTAAGCTACTCCTTAAGTGACACCTTGAAAAGGTGACCTGCTCCGCATAGCTGGCACCCTGGTGTGTCTGCTCTCCCTCTCTGGGCCCCCTTACCTCCTTTCCTCAGGGAGTCATGGGGCCTAGATTATCCTATAATCCTTAGGAGACAGCGTTGTTTTCACATGGCCTACTGTGCTACCGAGAAATCCTCAGCCACTCTGGAGCCCTCTGTAACTTCTGTGTAGGGTGGGGATTTAACCCTTCCTGGAGGCAGCGAGCCAGAGTGTTCCCTGAGGACTCCCATCCCCCAGGTGAGCCCTTTGGGTCAGGTGCTCCTGGGCCTTCCCATTAATTAGCCTCTGCCATTCTGACTTCTAGGGGCCCCATTCCCTTAGGGCACCTCTTCTGGTTCCCTCAATAAAAGCCGCAATAAGCATGCCCCCTGTAAACTCCATGCTGGAGGGGAGAGACCTCTGACTTGGATGTAGAATGCTTTTCCTGCGGGGCATGAATCTGCTCCTTGGGAACAAATGAGGAGGCCCTGGAGAGCCATCCCTGCCTGGAGAGACCTGCACAGCTTACTTTGGGTATCGGTGTCCTCTGCGAATAAGAACAGGCACCTGCGCAGAGGTGGAGGGAGCTAAAGGAAATGTTGTCCGTTCTCCGTACAGAGCTAGGCCTGTGGCAGGGAGTTGGTGGGTGTTGGTGCTGTCCCCGGCCACTGTAGTGTCCTCTCCCCTGGGGCTCACCATGCCCACAGTGCTCTGTTTCCAGCAGCTATGGATGCTGCACCAGGAAGGTGATATGCCCCTGCCCTGTGGGACATTGCTCCTTCCCTCCAGACCTCACACCTGACCCAGTCACTGAAACCAACTCCCAGATCCTCCATTTATAGCACAGAATTGTGCCATGGCTGTCATGGGCCATAGCACAATGCGGAGGTCATTTCCTTTGAGGCCTCAGTGGGTTTCAAAGGTGGCATCCAGAATGGTAAAAGCAATGAGGCAGTCCAAGAAATGTATCTGCCATCCATGTGTTTCTTCCCAGGGCCATGTGCATAGGTGCTGGCCCACGTGGCCTCCCCTCAGCGCCACCTGGGACTAGGGAATTCCTTGTGGGGCTGCCCTGTGCAAATGTAGGACAGGTAGCAGTGTCCTGCTAGATGTCAGTAGCACCCCTGCCTGTGACAATCAAGAGTCCCCATATGTCCCCTGGATCACCTCCAAAATCACCTCCGGTTGAGACCCATTGGCGTAGACCTCGCTTTGTAAAGCTAGAAACTGCAGTTCCTCCGAAGAGGATGCCGGGACAGGAGGGTGACTTACTTGGGACTCCTGTTTCCTACGCCATCTGAAAACGAGTGCATTAGTACTTGTCCCCAGAGGCAGGGGGGAAGCACAAGGCCCTGCTGGGCTTAAGCCCCTCTCCCCCCCACCCTCCCCCAGCATTCAGTTCAGATCGTTTCCACGGGCTCTGAAGGCCACCAGGCCACATCCCTGTGGCCACTGCAAGTGGTTGCACTGGCCTTGTCCCTCACACCAGCTCTTTCTCTGCTACCAGATTGAAGGCCGTATCGTAGCAACACCCAAGGAGAGTCCAAACCCCCCTAACCCTGAAGGCCAGTGCCCCATCTGCCGCTGGAACCTGAAGCACAAATACAGCTACAAGGTGAGTCTGCACAGAGACGTGTGGCCCTTGTCGCCGAGATCAGAGTCCTCCTCCTTAGTGTCCGCTGTTTCTCACAGAGCCACCAAAGACCACAGCATTTGTCCCGTGGCGGTCAACCCTGGCAGCACATTAGAATCACCTAAGGAGCTTTCAGAAATGGTCCCCCCAAGCCTGTAAGCCCAGCACTTGGAGGCTGAGGCAGGAGGATCATAAATTTGAGGCAAGCCTGCAAAACTTAGCAAGACTCTGTCTCAAAAAGGGCTGGGGATTTAGCTCAGTGCCCAGTACTGAAGAAAAGGAAGGATGCCCCAGCTCCACCTCAGACAACTGCATCAGCCTGGGAGTAGGGCTGGGCAGATCCCATGACTGCAGCCAGGGCTGGGAGCCACCAACCGGGTTCATGGGCCGGTTGCGCCTCAGAGCACTGGGGTTGGGTTCTCCAGGGATGCAGTCAGGCCTGGGCTCGGCTCCCACCTCTCCTCATGGGGTGGGTCTCATTCTTACTCTCTGCTCTGGGAACGCATTACCGTCTCTCCATACTGGAGCCTCAGCCCTTGATTGCTCCGGAGCTGGAAAAGCCACTTCCAGGAAGGAGAGGATGGTGAGCAGCAGCCGTAGGTGGCGAATGTATGCCCTGTGCCGGGCCCTGTGTGGGCGCCTGCACCTCATCATTTATTTACCGTCCATGCACACCCCACAAAGGTGGCACTTTTCCGACCTTGTTTCACAGATGAGGATCCTGAAGGCCCAGAGGAGGAGGAACAAAACCAAGTCAGGTCACCCCACTTGGGTACAAGCTGCCCGGTAGAAGCCAGGCAGAGTCTGGGTACCTGCACCCCATAGAGATGCAGAGGACCAGGCTAGGATGGGACCCAGAGACCACGCCTGCTCCTCCAGGCTCTCTCTGGTGTCATTAAGCACTCCCTTTTGGGGCTACAGGTGATTCTGGCCTGGACCAGCTTGACCTGCAAGCTGTCCCTGTGCCCCTTTGCAGGGTGGGATGACTACCGGTAGACAGCCTGGCCCAGCTAATCTCTTGGGCTGGCACCTTGGCCTCTAGCTACACAGAGCAGAAGGAGGGACGATCACCCTGACCCAGGCCTTTAATGCCAGTGGGTGTGCCAAGCTGGTGACATGGCAGCAGGATGTGGGCCTGCTTGGAACCCAGCTGCTGACAGAGAGGGGAACCCACACCTGCCCAGCCACTTGGGGTGCTCCTTCTGCCACCACCCCAGGAAATGCTGTGCTATATGCGCAGAGGGAGTCTCATCCCCTTCCAGGTAAAAGCTGAGGTCAGTCTCCCTTTTCTCCCTTTGCTCTCGCAGCAGCATTGTCTGGCAGCTCATACAGGTTAGACCAATCCTAGTTCTTCCCGTCTGATTCCAAAGCTTGCAGGGGTGGGAATAGGGGCCCGGGTCTCCCCAGGACGGCTGTTCCATGAGGCCGGTCTGGGAGAGGTAAGGCAGGGGTGGCCTCCCTCTCACCTCGGCTCTGTTGTGCTCTCCTTCACCCATCATAAGCAGCCTGTGGGCCTGCAATGGCCCAGGGGAAGCCCAGGAACCCATTCCCATCTGGTCATGGGAAGCTAGAGAACGGACTTAACTTCCCACAGGGCCCCTACTTGGCACTGGGCCTCCATCCATTTTGGGGGTACACAGGAGGGGCATCTCTGTGTGCTGGACCTGAGCCAGGGGCTCTGATGCGGCCTCCCCTCCAAGAACCCCCTCCAGATGCTCTGCCACCCAGAGGTGCCAATGCAGAGAAGACTGCACTTTGTCAGCATCTCGTCTCTTAAGTCTGGTGAGGGACTTGGCAGGTCCCGCCAAGTGGGGTTAACTGTGTCGGAGTGGAAGGGGCAGAGCACACACAGCTCCAAAGAGTACTGGTTGCCGGGCTCACAGCCGCTGCCTATGGTCCCCCCAGGATGTACTGCTGCTCAGCCAGTTCCTGCGGCCTCACGGCGGCATGCTGCCCCGGAGAGTGACAGGCCTGTGCACGGAGGAGCACCGCAAGGTGGAGGAGTGTGTGAAGATGGCCCACCGTGCAGGTAGGCAGGCGCGGCCCCCGACACCCTGGGCTCCCCAGCCTCGGCACTGTGGTGACCACCGTGTGCTCTTCTGCCCAGGTCTGCTCCCAGATCACAGGCCTCTGCTGCCCGAAGGGTCCATCCCAAAGAGCAGGCCGAAGCTGAACCGGTGAGCAGCACTGCCCATCGCACCGCACTAGAGCTGCTGCTGCTGCTGCTGCTGCTGCCGCAGAACAGAGCCGAGTGCGCCCCGCCAGTTCGGGCCCCTGCTCCCATCACACCCACCACGGCGCAGCTGCAGTATACACGGCTTCTGCTGCCTCCCATGCTAGCCCCAGCCCTTCTGTCCTGCCCTGTTGGCCTGGATACTGTCGAGGAGCACAGGGAGGCCTGCTGATTGGGCACAAGAACATGCTAATCCCCTGCGCGTGACTTCACATGATGTTGCCATGGGGATGTCAGAAACACTTCTGCAAACTCAGTCCCCAGCTCTCTCCAGCCCTGGAGTTATTACAGGGCCGAGCAAGGCCTCAGAAACAGGCGGGCTTTCTTGGTAGGACCACTGTGTACAGCTGTGTAAATCGTGCACTGCACAACTTCAGGGTAGCGTCCCTACTGCTCCCAAGAGTACTCAAGTGCTCTCCCAAATGTCATACAGTTGATGGTCGACATTGCTTTCTGTGGCAGCCTGAGCGGTTCTGGGGTTTGTAGACCCCCACCTAGCCCCCATGACCCCCTCCAGTGAGAGCATTCTGGCCTGACCCTGGGGCAGAGTCCTGTGCCCATCCCTCTTCTCCCATCTATCTGACTTCGCCACACTCAGGCCTTTGGGTCTGTGGTGTCCCCAATTAGACAAAGCTGCATCTGGAATACTGATTGTCGGGGGTCCTGTGCTCCCTCCCAAGGGCTGTCCCGCTGAGTGACAGGCAGAGCTCCCGGGCTGCTACCTGGTCCCTGCCTCCTGTGCCCAGCTCCACCTGTGCCCCCTACATCATGAGTGGGACCAGCTGCTAGCATGGGGGTAGGTAACCTCTCCCTGGGTCTCCCCACTATGCTGCAGCCACGTAGGGGCCTGACCCCCTCACCCTTTTAGGGCCCTTAGCAGGTCGAGGACACAGTCCACCCTGCCCTCTGGCTTTGAAGCCGGCCAGCTCCTTCCCGTGTATCCGGTGCCCTTTAATGTGACAGGACTGATGATGTGTGAGGCTCGGGGTTGCAAAAGGCCGCCCTGGGGGAGGGGCTCTGGCTGCGAAGGGAATCGATTCCCTCTTCAGGACTCTGCTTCCTGAAGTCCCTGAGTGCCGTCCAGGCCCTGCTTTGTCCCCACAGGTGGGAGGGGGTGCTCAGGAAAGAGCCTCGGCCCCAGGGCTGAGTATCACAGGAGCCCTGCTAGCGGTTGCTCCCTGAGGCCCAGGCGTCCAGCCCAGGGTACCTGAAGCCCCACTTCCCCCAGTGGCCCCAAGGTTGGGAGAGGAAAGCTGAAGGCAGGCAAGCTGGGTCACCTTGGAGTCCTCTTGGAATCCCAAGGAGCACCCTCTCTGCACGGCCTGCTCTCTATCCCATGTCCTTTACGCTGCACAGACGGGGGCGGCCACAAGTGGCCATCAGGTGGTCCCCTTCCTTTGCCCCAGAATGACAACAGTGGAACGTGCACTCCCAGGCCCTGCGCCTGCGCAGTCAACGGCCTGGTGAGACACCACCAGCCCAGCAAACACGTGGCCCTTTCCTCCCTACTGGCATGCAGGGAGCAGGGCTACAGCAGAGGACTGAGGTCTGGGCAACTCTGCTGAGATGCATAAATCAGCAACCCTTTTTCACTTTTTTCATCTACCATTGTTCAGCCAGAGTTACTTGTTTCTTAAATTAAAAAGCTTTCCATCTGAGGGTCTCCAGAGGCAGTGGGGTGAGTCTGACCTGGAATGGGCCACAGGATTCCTGGCCCTGTCACAACTGCACTTGCAGGACAGGGGTGGGCCTTTCTGGACAGGACCCAGGTTTCGTTCTGAAAAGAGGAAACCCTATGTTTCCAGGAACTGCCAGGGCCCTCGCTGTCCCCAAAGGAGGCCAGAGGGCCATGGATGGCTACCACCTTTCCCATTCCTCCTGTTCCCGGAAGCTCCCTGGGCTGAGGCCATACCACAGTTCCTCATCCCTGACCAGCAGCTTATGCCCTGGAAGGGTTCTGAAGGCTGGGGTGGCAGAGCAAGCCAGGTGTGGGGAAGGTGCAGGCTCCCGGGCCATTGTCACTCTTGTCTCTACCGCTCCCAAGGCCACTCTCTCACAAGCCCTGACAAAGAAAAGATCAAAGGAGCTGGGCCTGGGCCACCCAACCCGGCCACACATGCTGGCAGCAGCAGCCGACCCATCTGTCACAGGACACTGTAGTGACTCCCAGGAGGGTCCCAGCCCTCTGAGAAAGGAGAGCTGGGGAGAGGGTGGCATGGCCTCCAGGACAGTGCCCAGTGCTCACCACCACTTCCTATGCTTTCTCCACAGCTACCTCACCCGCTGGTCCCCACACTCAGTCAAGCCCATCTATAAAAAAGGCCCCCGCTGGAAGAAGGTGCGCATGGCTGTGGGGTCACCACTCCTGAAGGACAACATCTGCTACTCGGTCCGGCCTCTGAAGCTGTACCACTGACTTGTGCCACCAGGGTGCCTGGCCCCTCCAGTACCAGTGGCACCAGGGACAGCAGGACCACTTAAGTGCCTGGGCCCCGGGCATCTGCGGTGGCCTCCTGACTGGCATGGGCTGTGCCTGGTGCCAGCATCAGTTTCACCCCAACAAGTGTTGTTCATAAACCAGGTTCCTGGCCTTCCGGCTGGGTGCGTGCTCTCTGCTTAGGAACTGGGGGCTGGGCTGGTGGCCAGGTTGGCAGGGGCAAGGGTGCAACTGGGGGAGTCTGTGCCACAGGGTACCAGCCGCCGAGGACAGCGTGGAGCTCTACTCCGGGGGCTGCAGGAAGGAGGTGCAGGGGCTGCCTGGCCCACATGTCGCTCTCATATGAGCCCAAGGAGCAGCCGCCCTCATGACTGTCACCTCCCAGCGTCGTCTACCATAGCAGTGTCTCCACTGCTGTGTTGCGTTTCTCAGCCACTGCTTTGGAAATAGGTTTCCTGACCCAGGTGCCCTCTCCTTGCAGGCTGGACTCCAGAGGAAGGTGGAATAAGGTAAGGCGGTACAGAATAAATAGGCCAGGTTCACGGACACTGAGGAAAATACTGTTTAGGAACACCCAAGTGGCCCGTCCTACAGCATGAAGGGCAAGTCCATGTTCTTCTCACCAGTGCCCACGTAGATGTAGCCATGGTTCCTGGTGCGTGGGGTGTGGAAGAAGGTGAAGCCTGGCCACAGCAGGCTTCGCAGCACCACAAGCGAATTGCCCCGCTCCATCTGGATACTCCAGGACCCTGGGGAGGCGGATGAGGAAGGGCCGGGCATCAGCCTCCAGGTGGCCTTCAGCTGTTGCACTGCCCGTCACCACCGCTGCCGGGGGAGGGCGGAGGAAGTGAAAAGGGCGAAACACCAGTGGGCGCTCCCTGTCGGCGAGTCTGGGGGCTGGTACCAGGGCACACCCCACACATGGGCCGCACTCCCTTGCTCAGGTGACCGCCCCGGCCCTCGCCCTACGGTGGTCCCACTCTGCTCTGAGCCAGGTTCAGCCACATCAGGCCTCCCTGCTCCCTGGCCTCACTGGCAGCTGCAGGGCCAGCTGCCCCTGGCAGGAGGGACCTGGGCTCCACTATGGAGCCTCTCTGTCCCGGTCTCTGCTGGGGTTCTACTCCTGCAGACAGGAGCAGCCCAGCCACCACAGGGACTTGGCTGGAAGGGCCAGACCCAGCTCCAGGTCCGAGGGAGGGAGCCGCTGTGTGGGAGGAAGGAGCCTGGGAAAATCGCCTCTGGATGCAGATCTGGGGCTTCTATTCCCCTGCGCATGAGGCCTCTCCCAGAGCAGCAGCCGCGGCCCTGCTCCCACCCTGCCAGGAAGGCAGAGGCTTTGAAGGTTCTGGTGCTGGACCAGGCAGTGCACTGAGCTCTGTGGCCTTTATCAGCTGCCAGCTCGGCCTGGCCGCCTGGCTCCTGCACCCAGCTTCCCACGGTGTGGCCCACCCGAGTCATGCCGCACCCAGCAGTCTACGACTCCATCCCCACCCGCTGGGGCCCCTGTGCATCCAAGAGACCTGCCTGCCAGGAACCCGTGACCCTCATGGCAGCTAAGTCCCACTTGGGGCAGCCGCCGGCCCAGGCCCAAACCCAGCTTTCTGTGGCCAGGAAGTCGGCCCCTGGGCTCTCCCAGGCCCCCCACACCATACAAGTGCAGTGACCCACTCGTGCAATGAGTGAGAGCCATACACCAACCTGTCAGCTCCCGCAGTGCCTGCCAAACCCCATGGAGAAGCCAGCAAACCATCCTTGTGTGGCCAGGCCTTGGTGGAAGGACTGCCCCAGACCAGCTGCTCAGTCCCCTTGGCCTGCTGCTTTCCTAGCCCAAAGTTCCAGCAAACACTGCCTGGGGAGCCGAGGGTGGGGATGCAGAACAGCATGTTCCCAGGCCACTGTGCTCAACCTGATGAGAAGCACAGGCTCAGGAGGGTCCCATCCGTCAGCCTTCAGTACCCCACCAGTACCCAGAGCATCATCAGGCTAGCTTCCTAGGGACTCAGTCCCCCCAGTCCTCAGGGCCTGTAGCCACACAGCCCTGACCCAGGGACGGCCAGGCCTGCTCGTCCCCTGCCCTTACACTGGCTGACTTGCAGCTTCCTGGAGCCACGTGGTGCCTGGAGCCCCCCCAGCCCAAACCACGTGGGTACACTGTCACCAGTCTGCCCACCTGCCTGCGGGTCAGGGGGCACTGCATCCAGTATAGCAGCCCAGAAGCCTGGCAGGGAAAGTAGGGAGAGGGGGCACTCCTGGCGAGGCAGGAGGCCAGTGCCAAGCTGGAGGAGGGTGCTAGTGTGGCCAAGTTGCCACCCAGTGTGCCGCTGCCCCTCCCTCCCTTGCATTCTTGTCACACTCCTCTCTGCCATCTTCCCAGCTCAGCTGGTCGCCCAGGAAACACAAGACTCTCAACGTGCCACTAGTCACGTAGCATCTACCTGAGGAGCCAGCCCCTCACTGTCACCTTTGCCCACTTTCTTACTGCAGGTGCTAGCAGGGCTGGGCCCAGCCTCCAGCTGTGGGCCCCTTAAGACTCTGGGGAGCAGTCCTGACCTCAGGCCTCCCTGCTCCTAGAGGGCTATATTGTGGGGTGCAAGCCAGGAAGCTGAAGGGGCCTGAGCTGCTGGGAGGAAGCCCTAGGTTTCCAGGCCTGTGTCCCCCACCTGCTGCTGTGGTGTGCAGACCTCAGGCCCGGGTGTGCTGCTGTAATTCCACCTGCTGCTGAGACCAAGCCTGTTGGAGCAGTTTAGAGGGGTCAGGGCTGGCCCAGGCAGTGGGCACTTAACCCTCTCAGGCCAGTACCCCCAACTTAGTCACAACTGAAACGTAGCCATGTGTTTCCAGTGGGGCCGTGTGGTAGAGCTAAGTCCCTGCAGGCCTGAGCAGGGGGAAGACAGTGGCACCATGGTCCCAGCCTTTAACTGAAGGGCAGCAGGACCCGGCCCTGGCCCAGGAGGCCCAAGGCCTCAAGCAGGAAGCACAATCCACATAAACACCCAGAAGGTTGATTGTGCCGCACCTCCATCCCCAATCCTGTGTCCCCTGCCCCAACTACCTCGGCTGCCTCAGCCATTTTCAGGCAGCCGGCCCCTTGCTGCCCTCTGCTGCCCAAATTGTGCATTGCAGTTGAGCTTGCCCACCTGTCTCATTTCCTTTCCCCAAGTTCCTGGGAGGCAAAGGCAACTGGCTTGTGGAGGGACTGGCACGTGGCAGCTGCCCAGTGGCCATGCTGACAGGAGGCATCCATGGTAGACACCACCTAGAAGTTTACCCTCCTGACCAGTGCTCCAGCTGCGAGCTCCAGCCCGAGGTGAGAGAACTCAGCCATTGCCTCTGTCTTCCAGGAGGGGGTCCCCTTATGCAGAACCAGGGGTGACCTCAAAGCCACCCAGTCCCCTGCAGCAGTCCAGACCTAGGGCACAGTGGTCTCAGCCAACACCCTCCTGCCTCTCTAACCAAGGGTGCCAGTGACAAGCTGCTGAGCTCCCACCCATCTCCCTGGACACAGAGGGGCATCCCCAGGACAGGGCCACCTTAAGCACACCAAGTCACCTGAGCAGCATTCAGTGAGCACAGCTGTGTCCTAAGCACTGCACAGAACTCCCAAACTAAAGACTGATGTGTGCAGGGCTTTTAGGGATGTCTGGGAGAAGGTTCCAAACTGCATCCAATCAAGATTGCTCTGGATCCAGCAAGCCCACTCCTGGGTGTCTCTGAAGGCAATGAAGCCAGTCTGTCAGAGACACCTGCACACCCATGCTCATGCCACACTATCACAAAGGCCAAGAAACATGAACCACTATGCAAATGCACCCATCAACTGATGAGTGGCCAGGAAAGACATGGTACAGAACATATAGGGGTGGAATACTAGTGGCCCTAGGAAAGGGGTGAAATCTTACCATTTGTGGGACTATCGTGAGTAGAACTGCCAGTCATTGTTAGATGAAAACCAAGCACAGAGAGCATGAGCTCTCTCGTGTGGAATCTAAAACATTCTGAGGCCCATTCATTGGGGGGCTGCTGTGATGGGACCTCATCCCCAAGGGCCTCCATGAGCCACTCATTAGCACTCAGGTCTCTGGTTCCGGTCCCAGGAATGGCGGGTGTGATCTTACCTTTGGGGATGTCATGCTCCAAGGAGTCCAGGAAATCCAGGGAGGGGTCCAAGTCCGCCTTCTCCAGCAGGGTCTTGTTCTTCAGGCCCACAGGCTCCCGGAAGTGGAAGTAGGAACTGAGCTTCCTAGCCTCAGACAAAGGCAGTCCTAGAGAGGAGGATGCTCAGCCCAGGCCCCACAGACCCTCCTCCCCACCATGGGGACCCTTCAGAGAGGCACAGAAGGAGACAGGGACTGGTGCTCTTGTGAGCAGGACAAAAATAGCCCAGGTGGCCACAGGCAGAAGAGATGGGGACCAGCGAGCAGGGAGCCAGCCAGCAGCACAGAATATAGGGCACATCCTCCCCAGGGTCATGGCCTCCTCCTCTCTCACCTCCCCTGTGCTGGAGGGAGCTGGGGAAGGCAGGCCTGGGAGGACCCACCCTCAAATGTCCGGTTGACGTGGACAGGTCCAAAGGGGGTCTTGAAGAGGGCACCTCGGGGGATGATGGCCACAGCCTTATCGATCTGGTCAATGACGGACACCAAGCGGGTCTCTTCCTTGACCTGGACCTGGGAAGGCAGGAGAGGGGCCACCACCAGCTGCTGTGCCCGCTCTGCCCTGGTGCAAGGGCCTTTGTGGCCTCCTCCCTTGAGCTGCCAGTGTCCCTGCCAGCGCCCCTGAGGCCATGCTGGGCAGACCCTTCCCCTCCCACCCAGACAGACTTTTCCTTCCTTCTTTCTTTCCTTCCTGATTTCCTTCCCTCCCTCCTTTCCTTTCTCCCTTCCTCCCTCCCTCCCTCCCTCCCTTCCTTCCTCCCTCCCTTCCTTCTTTGAATTTGAATACAATCAAGTGTTACAAAAGTCACAACTACAAAAGAGTTGATCATGGTGGCAGTGCACACCTGTAATCCCAGTGCTCAGGAGACTGAGGCAGGAAGACTGCCACAAATTCAAGCTGAAGGCCATCCTGGATGACAGAGCGAGACTCTGTCTCAACACACCCCCCAAAAAAAGAAAGTGACCACACTATACTCACTGTAGAATACTTGCAGAACATAGAAAACCATACTTAGGAGGATTAAAACACTCATAATCCCATCTCCTGAAGGCAGTCACTAACATGCTGCTAGACAGACTCTGTTCTCTTTTTTCCACTGCATATATTCACAGTAAAATGGGGGTCACAGATACGGATTTTCATCTCCAGCTCTCTGGCATCATATGACCCCCTCCCAGGCATCTCCCCACATTACAGCTTCATCCAGATGAACCCAATTGTGTTAACATCAAGGCCACCAGGACCAAAAGAGCTGCACAAAGCCGTCTGGGGGAGCAGCCCTGGCCGGGGACGCAGGCCACTTGCCGCCCCACGTGCCAGCCACACGGCTGACGAAGGGGAGCTAAGGACTGGCATTCAGTAAATGCCTGGGCCAGGGCCTGTGAAGACATCAGCTCACGGGCTCCGTGGGAGCCTGCAGAGGGAACCAGCCCAGTTCTGAAGACCTCGGTCCGGGGCTCGAGAGAGGACACCTAGGAGACATCCCACTGCCCAGACACAAGGGCTGGGGTTTGAGTTCAGGCTCTGCCAGCTTCAAAGCTCGGGCTACTTGCTGGCCTCACCATTCCATTTCTAGGAATCGATCCTTCAGCTAAAGCACACACACTGGAAATGGTGTGGGTACGGGATCGTGTGGTTCAGCACTACTTGCCAGGGCTGGGAGCTCAAAATCTACAATTCCATGTCCCAGACACAGGCTAAACACCACGCATCCTCACACAGGCACAAAGAACAGGGTGGCTCTTTTGTGTGTGTGTGTGTGATAGGGTCTCACTATGTAGTCCAAGCTGGCTTTGAACTCAGAGGGATCCTCCTGCCTCAGCCTCCTGAGTGGTGGGATTATAGGTGTGCACCACCACACCCAGCTGGGACAGCTCTTCAGGGCACTGATGCAGAAGAGTCTCCAAAAGATACTGTCCAGGGAAAAGAGCATGGTGCAGGAGCACATGTGTCACATGCCGCCATCCAGTTTGCATTTAGGTGAAGAGTGCATGTGGGGTCAGGCTTTGAACGAGGTTGACGTCTGTGTGAAGCGGCTCTGCAAGCAGCACCTCACACTTTGGGGAACTCGAATCCCCTGGGATCGGGCAACACACAGGCTTCTGGTGCTGCAGTCCAGGGTTCTGCACTTCGGACCCCTGTGCACACACAGGCATGGGCACGACAGTTACACCGATGTCACCCAGCAAGGGGGCCCGTGTGACTGCAGACAGGGATGGGAGGAAACGTCACCACACTCCTGTGTGCACCTTGTGGCACACAATCTTGTAACATAAAAATTGATAAAAGCAAAACAAGGCTGGGATGTAGCTCAGGGTACAGAGCCTACCTAGGGGAGCGGCCCTGCCTGCATCCCAGTACCTCAGCAAAAAGAAAAATATATGCCACGTATGTGTTTACCTGTGTGCCTCACATATATGTATTTGTTTCACATGTGCATTTATGTGTATCACACATCTACATGTGTGTTACATGTGTGTGAACCACAAATATATTTACCTGTGTATCTGTGTCACATATACTTTGTGCATATATGTGTGCATCACACACTTACATGTGTGTGTATCACATATGTATTTGTGTGCTTATGTGTTGCATAGTTCTGTGTGTATATTACATATATAGTTCCGTGTGGACGTAGATGTGTGTGTCATACATATATCCGTGTGTTTGTGCTACCTGTGAGTGTGTGTAGGACCCTGTGCACTCTCCCTGCCCCCTTCCCAGCCACCTCCCAGGCTCTGCACGAGCCCGCGTGTCTTACCCTCTCCAAGCTTCAGTGTCCTCCCTCTACCAGCTGGAGAGGATGTCCCTCCTTCATGGCGTCCTGAGGGTCACAAGATGCCACTGGCCCAGCAGCAGAGTGCCGGGCAATCCCGGTGAAGTCATGAGGATAGTACCCGTTGCCCTAATTTCTGTTGGGCTGCCTTGGGGTGTGTGTGTGTGTGCGTGCGTGCGTGCGTGCGTGTGTGTGTGTGTGTGTGTGTGTCTTTGTCTTGCTTTGTTCTTTGTTCCACCTGAGCCCCTACCCAGCGACCCAAGCCTTCCTCCTCCTCCCCCCGGCCTCCTCTCACCACGACATCGTCCTCAGCCGTCATCTTCTGGAACTCGGTATGCTCGTATTCATGTGAGGGGTCCCCCATGAAGCGGCCCTTCACCATGGCCATCTGCGTGGCCCTCTCCTCAGTGGCAGGGGGCAGGAGGCTCCACTCTATGCAGTTCAGGCTGCAACAACATGGTGGCCTGGCTTCCACCCCCAGCCCTGCACCTTCCCTCTCCCTCGGCGTCTCCCCCAGCGCCTTTCCTTCTGTGGGACCCAGAGCCCTGAGCACCCGGCTTACAGCCCACTCTCCTAGGTGATGCAAGCAAAATGTTATTGTCTTCAGGTCACACAAGTGTCATGTTTGATGCCCCTCCACTTTTGTTGAGGTCACATCCCGATGAGCCCATGGTGAATTGAAAATATCATTAAGTCAAAAACGCATTTATCATGCCCAGCCAAGCCAATGTCACAGCGGTGGGAGAGACAGGATGGGCTCACTGCCACCACCAGCACCCCAGGAGAGGCGCGGCCCCCCAACTGGGAAACAATGAATCCAACTTCAGCACGGTTGCTACGGAATGCACAGCCCTTCCCCCCAAGTTGAAAAGCCCCTCCCAGACCCTATGTAGGGTACTGTGGGGGCACTGTCCCCTCTGGTCCTTCAGGGCTGGGCTCCGCTGCTTCCCTCTCAACAGAAAAATGGCTCAGCCTTCCAGAGTCCCTGCCTCTCTGCAAAACATTTCTCCCATTCCTCTTCCTTTGCTCCCCCTTCCCAGCTTTGAGCAACACTCTCAGAGCAACAGTTCACCTTATGCAGGCCCTTCCTGTCCTCCATCTCCTGCGCCCTTTAGCCCCACCATCCCTAGACCCCCAGGGGAAAAGGCTTCCGGGGAGACTAACGGCCCACAAACCATCTCCAGGGTCCTCTGCCAGCTCACTCTGCCCTTCAGCCATCTGTCCTCGCCCCTGACCTCCACCTGCTTCCCAGTCACCCAGCTGCCTGGCGAGTACCCAGCATCCAACCACCACCCCACTGCTGCCACCTAGGTGCTTGAGCTGGACACTGCAGAGAAGCTGAACCTCCTCCCTGCTTCCACACAGCCCCATGCACTGTTCAGATCTAAAGCAGCTCAGGGTGCTCCTCTGTACAGAAAGTCTAGGTGGGTTCCCATTGAGCCAAGTCTTTCAATGCCCCACAAAGCCCACCATGACTGTTTCCTATCCTCACCTCTGACTTCACATCCTATGCTGCTTTCCTGCACTCACTCCTCTCTAACCACTCTAGTCTCTATGATCTTCCATATACCAACCACAGGGCCTTTGCACCTGCCCAGAACACTCTTCCCTCAAATACCCACATGGCTCACTCCCTGGCACTTCAGGTTTCTTTTCAGTGTCATCTTCCTAAACAGGTCATCTCTAAGACAGTACCCCAAAAGCTGGGTAGGGTGGTGTGTAGTCCCAGCTACTCAGTAGGATCCCTTGAGCCCACAAGTTCAAGACCACCCTGGATAACATACACAGACCCCATCTCAAAAAATAAAAAGATAAAAGAGTAGCCCATTCTACTGGATGGTGGCACTTACACCATCTGCTACGTAAGTCATGGGAGGGTTTGTCTGTCTCCCCTTCCCTGTCCCCCAAGCACCCACTCCCACCTAAGTGTCCCCTTTAGCACTGTATTATTGTCACTTAAACCAGTGCTGGCACACAGCAGGAGCTCGACAAACCCTTATGCAATAAAATGAAATGGATCCCTACTGGGTGTGGTGGTGCACATCTGTAATCCCAGCACTCGGGAAGCTTGAGGATCACCTTGAGTTTGAGGCCAGCCTGGGCTACATAGGAGTTCAAGACTAGCCTAAACTACATGGTGAAACCCTATCTCAAAAAAAAAAAAAAAAAGATTTCAAAACTCTAATCTTTAGCCCAGGTTTTCCTTCTGGACTCCAGATCTGTACGTTCTATGCCTTCTTCTCCCTACCCCGGGCACTTCACACCGAATTCAGTCTCCCCAGATGCTGCCACCTGAGTTTGCTCCCACCCAGTGGCACTGGCGTTTACTTAGCCATCTCGGGAGAGAGGATGACCCCACACCTCATCACTGCGAAGCTCACCAGCCCCAAGTCCTGCCACTCTGCTACCGCATCCAACCTGCCCCCTCCACTCCCTTGGCTGCTTTTCCTTTCCAAGCCCTGTCATCAGGACCCTAGGATAACTCCAAAATGCTCACCCCACTTCCAGGCCCTCCCTTGCTCAATGCCCCCCAACAGCTCCCCACAGCCAGTGAACTAACCTCAAACCCCCTGGCTCTTCATCCAGCTCTGCACAACACTCCACGGTGCCGGGGTCAGGTTCAACCCTGCTGAGTGCACAGCTGTCCCTGACCAAGCCTGTGCATGGGATGCAGCCAGGGAGAGGCCCCTCCTTCCCCTCCTTCCCCTCCTTCCCCCTACCCACCTGACCTGATCGAGGTTTAGAAGATCAGAACCCTTGGAACCCTTTGCGTACAACTCTGTTGTAGTTTTGTTTTGTTTCTTGGTACCGGGGATCGAACTCAGGTCCTTGCACTTGCGAGGCAGGTGGCGGAACCACTGAGCTAAATCCCCGGCCCACTCTGTTCTAGTTTTAACTGCCAAGTGATACATCAGTCCCCCTCCTAGGGTGTGCATGGCAAGGCAAGTTTCAGAACTGCATCCCATCCATTGGATCCTCCCATCCCAACCCAGGTCTTACAGGATGGGATCCAGCCACTCAGCACCAGATGTCCCACAGCCGGCTCCCACCTGGCTCCCACCCGGCTCCCCCGACCCCCAAAACTGGGGATCGAGCCCCAGGCACCTCTGCCAGCTGAGCGTCGTGCCCTGAGCTGCACCCAGCCTCACACCTGGCTCCTACTCCGGCGGCCTCCTCTCCCGGGGAGCACCCCTGGCTCCACCACAAGTTCCTCCGCACGTGGGTGCCCCGTCTCAATTCCGTGTCTACCTCACCTGTAGAGAGTCTTGCGAGGAGCCAGCTGGTCCTCGCTCAGGCCCTGCGCGATGTAGTAGTCAGCCACGATCCCGAGGATGCGGCCCCAGAAGAGAACGCGGTCGTAGCGGTAGTCTCGCTTCACCAGCTGCAGAGAGGTGAGCAGCGCTGCGCGCCGGTCGGGACTAAGGCCCAGCCCGCTGCCGGCCGCCAGCTCTAGAGACAGCAGCAAGCTCTCAGCGTCCATGGATCCGGTTCCGCGACGCCCGCCGCGGCCGACTGGTCTCCATGGCGACCTGGCCCCGCCCCCAGGATCCCAGCGCCTTCCGGAGTTGGGGCCCAGCAGTCTTCAGCTGGCTCTAGTCCCCACCCTGCCCACTTTCTGGGCTATTTTGGGCCCGAGCCCTTTCACGAACTTGACATTTAGAGCTTCGCTGTGTACACATACAACTGGTAAGTGGGAAGAGATACAATATAGCCTCGACACTAGGTGTGGGGCCACAGGCCTACAATCCCAGCACTCTAGGAAGCTGAAGCAGGAAGATCATGAGTTCCAGACCCCATCTCAAAAAAAATAGAAAGGGTTGAGGATGCACCTCAGTGCGATGACCGTGGTGGGCTCAATCCCCAGTACCAGGATGTGGGGGTGCGCCTCAACATTGAGACTAGCTGTACTATTTCAGCCCAGTCACGTCACTTTTTGGCCTTTTTTTTTTTTCTTTTTATGAGACAAGATCACTCTGTAGTTCAGGTTGGCCTTGAACTCACTATGTAGCCCAGGCTGGCCTGGAACTCAAAGTGATCCTCCTGCTTCAGCCTCTCGGGTGCTAGGATTACAGGTGTGTGCCACCATGCCTGGCTCTGGCCTCAGAATTATTTCAGGAAAAGAATCTGAGATGCCTCTTGGCTGTAAAAGTCTAAGATCCTGAGAATCCTCCCATCCCAACCCAGGCCTTACAGGATGGGATCCAGCCACTCAGCACCAATGTCCCTTTGCCTGCCCCTCCCTGGGACTAGTCCACCTGTGTCCAATGAAGATTAAGCAAGGTTCAGCCAGTTGTGGTGGCGCACACCTGTAGTTCGAGGCCAGCCTGGGCTACATAGTGAGTTCAAGGCCAGCCTGAACTACCTAGCGAGACCTTGTCTCAAACAAAACAAAACAAAACCCAATTACACAACAGGGTAAGGTCATAGGGCCACACCATGAAAAAGGAAAGGGTGATGTTTACAGCCTATACTTTACAATCGCTACCATTTACTACCTCGGGCCCTACAGATGCTGTTAAGATTCAAATGTAGCCACAGATGGAAGGACAGGACCCACTGCAGCTAGGGCGCTGCACCTCCCCCCCCCCCCAGGCCACTACACATCCACCTCTGGTCCCAGTCAAGGACAAAGGCAAACTTGTTCCTCAGCAAGCTTGCTGCCATCGAGAGCTGGGCTTTACGGTTATTATTAATTGATCTTTTCATTTAGGGATTCCTTTAAGAAAACTCACGAAGACAAAATGACCTGGGCCCCAAGGCCAAGCACATAGACACATATGTCCAAAGTACTCAGATAATTAATGTTTTGATTATGTAGCCATTATGAAGGCTTTTAAAATAAGTAGTGGAGGGAGCTGACTTGGCTTAACATGCCTTCCATCTCAGAACAGATTACAGCACCTTTTTCACAACTTTCCCACTCCCTTTGGCCAGACCTGTCCCTCTCTGCCTTCCCTTATTGGGAGATCTAGCCCAGTCCTCACCTGTAAGGTAATGGGACAGAAAAAACCCAAATTGTGGCTGGTGGAGGATGCTTCAAGTGCTCACTGCACAGAAAAGAGCCCAAGTATTTGCTTCTCACTGTTCTGTTTACCTGTTACTGGCAGGCTCCATGTCAGGAACCAGAATCCCAAGGGAGATGAGGATCTGTAAAATCCTCGAAGGGCAAATCCTGGCTAATGCTCATCACAGGGTGTGCAGTGTAGTGGAAAGCACTCAGTCTCTGGGGCACTGGGTTCAAATCCATGTTCTACCACTTAAGCCAGTCTCTCAATCTCCCCATCTATACAGTGGGCAAACACACACACACACACACACACACACACACACACAATGCAGTGTTGTCAGATTACACACTGGGAGCTGTACCTTGGGCTTCAAAACCAACTGGGTGTTGCAGGAATTGGGCAACAGAGGTCAAGAGAGGGCCTCCCTGTGGATGTGGCAGAACTGACATTCTGAATCACGTAGAGCTATGTGTCCAAATTCTATGATGTTTGGAAGCTGAATTAGGGCTGGGAATTTAGCTCAGTGGCACCACGCCTGCCTCACAAGTGCAAGGTCCTTAGTTCGATACCCAGTACCAAAAAACAAGACAAACAAAACAATCCAAAAGTGGAAGCTGAATTAAAATACAATACTTGAAAAAAAGCCAGACATGTTGGTGGCACCCAGCACCTAGAAGCTAAGATGTGCAGGGGACAGAGACCAGCCAGGCAAAAAAAAAAAAAAGACAGTGCCTGGGCTGGGGATGTACCTTAGTGGTACAGCATTTGCCTAACATGCATGAGGCCCTGGATTCCAACCCAGTACCACTAAAATAAATTAATTTTAAAACCTAAAATTTTAAAATAGGGAGCCAAGGTCAGTGGCACATGGCTGTAATCCCAGCTACTTGGGAAGCTGGGGCAGGAAGATCACAAGTTTGAGGCCAACCTAAACAATTTAGCAAGATCCTGTCTCGAAAGGACTAGGGATATAGCTCAGTGGCACAGTGCTTGTCTAGCATGAGCAAGGGCCTGAGTTCAATCCCCTGTATAAAAAAATAAACAACCAGCATACATGTCAGATACTATGTTTCCAGCACTTTACATATATTATCTAACCCAAAAACCTTGGACCATCTGTACTGCTGTCCCCCTTTATTTATGTACAAGCACACCATTCCAACACCAGCCAGGTGAGGATTCTCCTCCAGGAAACATGCAGGAGGTTTTCTTCCCAAGGGTCCAAGAGTGCCAACCCTTAAGTGGTCAGGGCTGTGTCAAGCCAGTGTCAAGCCAGAGAGGCCACCAGCAAGGTTCACAATGGCCAAGTCAGACATAGCTGAAGAGAAACTGCCACAGGCAGGAGGACAGGGTTTTGCCAATAGCTACAGCCAGCAGCCATCAAAAGACTGCAGGGAAGGGCTGGGCAGAGCTCCAGGAAACATCTGGCTTCAGGAAGAGAACCCACAGGATCCCTGAGCAATCAAGACACAAAGCGGGTTGTGAAGACCCCTGTTTCTTACTCCATCTCTGCTCTGGGCACACAAATGTTTGGGGAACTTAATCCTCACACAGACCTGTATGTGGCAAGGAAAGAACGTTAGGCTACAAGTTAGCTGATAGGGACTCTCATCTCAATTCTGTTATCAAACCACTTACAGAAGTCATTTCACTTTCCAGACTGTCATAGGGCCGAGGAAGAGAAAAAACTACTAGTATAAAATCTTGGAAGCCCTGAAGCTGAAGAGGCCCAGAAGAAAAACAAAATAGCATAAAGGCTGAAGTCTCTTTGAGTTAACAATTTCAGGAAATTTTAACATGATTCTATTCATTTCATATATAAATTCATCCATCATGAGGCACACACACATTATTAACCTGGCAGAAATCCTGAAAGGACACAGCTAAAGCAGGAAAGGCCACCTCAGTAGGAGTCTGTCTATGGCCCCATCTTTGCTTTCCCACCCCAAACAAACATGACCCAGCACCCTCTGGGAAACCAGCTTGATTCAGAGAGGTGCTCCATGATGATGATTTCTGTCCTGGCTACACCTTCAGCCGTCTGAAGCTTGAGAAGGGAGGCAGCACCACCTTCTCTCACCAGGAAGGAATTCAGCTCATAAGAGACAGTGACCAGGTGCCACAGGGACAGAGCATGCAGCCAATGTGCTTTTAGAGCAAGAAGTGCCTGCAGTCACTCGTGGAAACCCTTAAGCGTCACTGGTGCCTGGAACCAAATGTAATCCTCAGAGCCCAAAGCTGGCACAGAAGGTCTGCCGCAGGACAGGGTCACGGTCAGTTTGTGACCTCGGGTGGGCACCCGGTAGTTGAGCTTGGGTCGAAACCACTCCTCTCCACAGTCACGGTGACCCTGCACCATGACGACAGTGCCCATGAGCGGAGGAGCCTGCAGCTCACTGAAGGCATCAGCCAGGAAGATGGCTCGGAAGAGACGGCGAAGACAAGCAGGCGTGCTCAGGCTCTGGTCCACGCTGAGGGGGGCCAGCCGGGATAGGTCAAGTTCATAGAACTCCTTGGGGCTTATGGCACTGCCCCCGAGGAGGATCAGCACTCGTGGTACCAGTGTCCGGGCAAAGAGGTCCTCCAGGTGGCCAAGGACGTTGTCCAGCTCCGCCAGGGCTTGCTGGCACTTCCTGCTGCTCGCCTCACTGGCAGTCCGAGGTTTCTTCCTTGCTGTGTCCTCTGCCTGTGAGGACAGAGCACGTGGGAGAGAAAAAGTAATATGGAAGTGCCTGCCCTTTGAAGAACTCCAGTGGGATGTGCAGACAGACTTACAGACTGGATTTCTAGGTCAATGAACTGCCATAACCACACGGTCCTATCAGAGAATGTTACAGTGTAAAAGAAAATATGGTCTCTGTGCACAACTATGATTCTTCTACACTCAGAACAGCAAAGATAGTACCCCAAGGCTAGAGGGCATCCAGACAGAAGCACAGGAACAAGGAGTATGTGGTCTAATAAAGATAATTCTGGAGGCCCTCCAGTCAAAACAGTAAGTTAAATACACAGCTTATTAATATATGCTCCCACCTAAACACTGAGAAAAAACTAAGAAATGAAAAGGAAAGAAACCAGAAGACAAGTGCTGAGAAAGAGTAGAGAACTAGAGAACAGGCAACAAGTTTTAAAAGATGGCATGGTGTCACCTGTAATCGAAACACTCAGGAAGGGATCACCATGAGTTCAAGGCTAGCCTGGGCTACATGGTGAGTTCAATGCCAGCCTGAACCTCATAGTGAGATCCTGTCTCAACCCCCCCACACACACACACAAATAAAAGCCCTAGGTTCACCCACCCCCACACACACACCTTTAAGAGGGAATTCATGAAGTCCAAATGCAACATACAACCGGAGTCTCAGAAGGCAGAACGAGAGAAGTGAGGCGTTAAGCTACCAAAAACTGGAGCCCTTGCAGCTGCTAGACCTGAACGTTTTCTCTCTGCCTACCACCTAAGGACCACCAAGTCCTCCCACCCACTCTCCTCGCGAACCTGGGGAGATGTTTTTCGGTAGAAGTGCTTGAGCTGTTCGTAGGGCAGAGGTAGTTGCTGGCGTTGGTACATGATGTGCTTTAGAAGTTCACACGTAAACCGGCAGCAGCCTTCCTGGCTCACAGGCCCAGGAAACACCACTGGTACCAAGCAGTCTCTTGGGCAAAAGAGCTCGGAAGGGTTGGGCGGTTCCTGGGCAGAGTGGGTCTCAAGCAGGTCTATCTGAGGGTCAGGAGCTTCTTCCGATTTCTCATACCATTTCAAGTCTAACCCAAGAACGGAAAGATAAAACGCGAAAAAAGAAAGCACTAGGTCAATGGGAGTCTTCCCGTTCCCTGTGGTCACGTCAGTCACCCCCGCGATGAGGGCACCTGCCACCCGCTCGGAGACCTCGCCACCTACCCACGTCATTTAAGGGACTGAAGGACGCAGAGGGGCTCGGAGTCAGGGACTGGGACTCCGCTCAGAGAGCGGCGGGCCCTGGCCAGGGGAAATGACTCCAAAGTCAAGTCACACGAGGCCCAGAACGCCGAAACCAAGAGAAGGCGAAGCAGCGCAACCCAGAGTGAAGGGGTCGCGGAAGATCTAGGCGGAGCCGGACGCGCGACCCGGAGCAGGGAAGACCGGCCGGAGGAAAAGTCAGCTAAATGACCGGGGGAGGTGGCAGGGAAAAATCAGGTCCCCAAGGCTCCCCAAACTCTGGACCCCACGCTTTACCAGGGACAGTGGCCGGGGGCAACACTTCCGGCTCCAGCGCCGCCATCACTCACTACCTCCTCCTTCCGCTGCCAACAGTCAGAATCGGCGCCCGCGCAGCAACGCAAAGGCCACACCCACTCCCCCCCCCCGCGCGCGCTCCGTCGCACGGAAGTGAGGGCGTGGCACCGCCTCCTTGGGGCGAGATGGGCGGGGTTGAGGGTTGAGTCTCGCGCTGCCCTCTTAGCTCCTTGGTGCGCACGCGCCCAGCAGGGAACCTAAGGGTTTGGGAATGTCCTACACGTGCATCCTGCATCCTGAGTTAACTCTCCGCGGCTCACTTACTGTGTCCGGCCCTGTCCTCGGTCCTGGAGACCGTGAACAAACACTGTCCTCCAGGAGTGCATTGTCTGAGAGATGAAGTGGGGCAGTTAGAGTGGGCTGTGGAGGGCGCCTGGGGCAGGGAAAGGGAGGTCTCACAAATATGGGAAGAAGCCGTGTGACCTGTAAATTAGTAAGTTAGCAAGGTAAAGAGGAGGACTTGGTGTCCTTGGAGACCTTGAGAGACAAGAGCATCCTCTGTCAAAGACTGAAAAAAGTTCCTAATATAGAATGACGGTGAGCGGGGGATTTGGCTCAGTGGCAATGTGCCTGGCTCCCAAGCGCAAGGTCCTGAGTTTGCTCCCCAGTAACCCCAAAAAGAAAAGGAAAGAGTGACGCTGTAGTGGACAAACGAGCCACATCGTGCCAAGACCTTATCAGTGTCAATTCCTGAAAGGAAATGGGGACCCCTCCCCCACACACACACACACACCAGCTCCTGGGATTGAGTCCAGGGCTTTTACACAAAGCTGCATCCTCAGCCCTTTTTTATGTTTTGAGTCGAGATTTCACTAAATTTCCCAGGCTGGGCTTGAATTTTAATCCTCCTGCCTCAGCCTCTCAGGGTGCTGGGATTACAGGCATGCTCTGTACCCCCAGCTGGGAAGCTTTTTTTAAAGTAGCAGAGTGACGTGGTTACATTTACATATTACAAATGTGATCTCTTGTGCTTGCTTCGGCAGCACATATAATAAATATTTAATCTCTACACTGGCTGTGGTGCAAAGTTTGAATTGCAGGGAGGATAAGAGAGGAGTCAGGGCCTGGCACAGTGGTGCCACCTGTAATCTCATCTACTTCAGAGGCGGGCGCATGAGGATGGCAAGGTCGAGACTGACCTGGGCACCCTAGCAAAGACACTGGGGGTAAAACATTTGTAAAAGGGTTGGGGATGTAACTCAGTGGCTGAGCACTTGCCTAGCACATGCCAGCCCCTGGATTCAATCTCAAAGAAAGAGAGGGATATTACAGGTAGTAACAGCAGTTACCCAGTATGGTGAAAGAGGGTAGTCTTTATTTATTTATTTTTATTTTTTGGTACCGGGGATCGAACTGGGGTCCTTGCACTTGCAAGGCAGGCAACGGAACCACTGGGCTAAATCCCTGGCCCTAGGGTAGTCTTTATGGTGAATTAGGGTAGTCGTAGTGGCTGGAGAGAATTGGGTGGACCCTAGAGATACAGTATTTAAAATCCAGTGAGCATGACTCAGTGGTGGGTCTGAGGAGAAGGGACAGAAAGACTGCAAAGACAAGCAAGTTTCTAGCTTCAGCAAGTGTATGCCTAGTTGTGCTATTCCATGAATGAAGGAAACACTTATTTGTTCTTATAGTACTCAGGATTGAACTTGGACCTCAAACAGAGCTACATCTCCAGCCTTCTCTTTATTTTGAGTCAAGGTCTAGTTGCAGGCTGGGCTTGAACTTTGGATCCTTCTGCCTCAGCCTCCCAGGGTGCTGGGATTACAGGCGTGTGCCATCAGCCCAGCTAAGAAGAGTAGGTGTATTGCACAACGAGTAAGGAGAACAGATGAGTTCAGTTTTTCACAGGTTGAGTTTGATGTCCCCATTAGACAGTGAAAGATATATTTAGCAACACATTTGGAATAGAGATATGTATTTGAGAGCCTTCAGGATGACAGTGGATAAACTCACCCAGGGAGGGTATATAGAATAAGAATTGGCTGAGATCCTGAAGACAGCAATGTTTATGAGATGAGCAGAGACACAGAAAAATCTGGGAAGACATGGGAGCAAAGAAGAGGATGTGTTTCCGGAAGTAGAGATGAGAGATCAAAACACACAGTACTACAAAAGTACAATGACTGAAATACTGTGGTATTGGACTAGGGATCTAGCTCAGTGGTAGAGCACTTGCCTAGCATACCCCAGGTTCTGTGTTTGGTCACCATTGCTGCAAGCAAAGATAAAACAAAACACAGCTGGGCATGGTGGTGCAGGCCTGTAATACCAGCTACTTGAGAGGCTGAGGCAGAAGGATTGCAAGTTCCAACACAGCCTAGAAAATTTAACAAGACCCAGTCAGAAAAATAAAAAGTAATCCAGGTGTGGTGGTACATGTCTGTAATCTCAGCACTTGGGATGCTGAGGCAAAAGGACTGTCATGAGTTCAAGGCCAGCCTAGGCTACATAGCAAGACACTGTCTCAAAAATAAATAAATAAATAAATAAGACTGGGACTCCCCAGTATCCCCCCCCAAAAAAAAGACTAGGACTATAACTCAGTGTCAGCCCCTAGGTCCAATCTCTTGTACTGAAAAAAATAAAGAAACAAAAGCAAAAAACACTGTGGCAGGGCTGGGGATTTAGCTCAGTGGTTCCGCCACCTGCCTCGAAAGCGCAAGGTCCCCAGTTCGATCCCTGGTACCAAAAAAACCCCCCAAAAAACACTGTGGCATTATCACAGATAACTGACTTAGGTAGAAATATTATAGGCAGTCAGACAGGGCTAAGCCCTCAAGGGAGTCAATGCAGAAGATGAGAACACATTACAACTGTGGCTGGAGGCACATTTGTTGAAGTCTGGGCCTCAAGATAAAGACATGACCAGGCCTACATGCCTCCCCAAGGGATAAGCAATAAATTAAAGATTATACTATAACTGGTATCACAGGGTCCAGTAAAGTCTAGATAGGCATCAGTCACTCTGGTGGATGACCAGGAACTCCTGATCCATCTCTTTCTAAAAAGGTCCTTGTTCTTTCCAAGTATACTTGCTACATGATCTGCTTCCCCATTGGATCAATATTACCTAAGCAATTAAACTTGTAATCTTATTGGTTGATCACAGTTTGACCCACGTTGTACCCACCTTGTGATTTTTGCTCTATAAAACTTCCTCTATGGCTGGAGTAATTTTAGCTCAGTGGTTCTGGCACCCTGCCTCCCAAGCGCAAGGTCCTGAATTTGATCCCCGGTACCAAAAAAAAAAAAACTTCCTCTGTGAAGTAGGGTCCATGGTAACCCACTTTTGGGTCCCCTTCTGTCTCTCAGGAACTATCTCTCTCAATAAAATTATTTTTTTTGGTACCAGAGATTGAACTCAGGACCTTACACTGTTGAGGCAGGTGTGGTGCCACTGAGCTAAATCTCCAGCCCTTTCTCAATAGATTTTTCTTACTCTTAATCTCTGCTATTCCTTTAGAATTCATTCTTCAATTTGGGGGAACATGAACCTGGCATATCTGACATCTAGCAAGTTGGGAGTTATATTAGTTCCCCTACATCAGTATTGGCTTAAAGATAAACAAAACAGAAAAGTCCAGAAGTAGATCTATGTAGGTCTTAGTACATGATGATGATGACTTTTCAAAGCAAATAATACAAGACAACTCTATTTATGGGAGAAAATTCAAATTCACTACACACACAAGGGCTGGGGATTTAGCTCAGTGGTTTCAACACCTGCTGCGCAAGCGCAAGGACCCGCATTCGATCCCCGGTACCAAAAAAAACAACCAAAAACAAATTCACTACACACCTACACACACACACACACACACACACACACACACGACAAAAAGATAAATTCCAAATGGATTAAGGATCTAAACAAAAATAAACCTCACCCCCTAGAAGAGGGGCTGAAGGCACAGCCCCATGGTAGACTTAGTGGTTAGCTTGTACTAAGGCTCTGGGTTTGATCTCTGAGGGGAAAAACTCCTAGAAGAAATACTGGAAAAGAATTTATAATCTAGGAGTCGGGCTGGCTTAAGAGTGACACAAAACCAAGAAAACATAAAGGGAAACACTGCTAAACCTGAGTTTCAAATGTATGCAAAGGTACTATAATAACTAATACATGACTAATTACAAGCCAGGAAAAATGTTTGCATGTGACTTGTGTGTATCCATGATGTATACATAGCCCAGAGCCAACCACTTCATAGGTACCTTATAAGCAACACCTCCAGGAAGCTAATCACAACACCACCTTCCATTCCTCAGGATTCTGGTCTCCTCCTGGACAGACATTCCTGTTCAGCCTACTCCTCTGCCAACCTTCACTTCTGTTGGTGGTAGGTGACATTGTTCAAGCATGGGCTGTCAGAATGGTCATCCATGACATCTCTTAAAAGAAGTTCAAGCCAGGCATGGGTGGAATCACACACCTGTGATTCCAGCACTCGGAAGACTGAGGCAGGAGGATTGCCACAAATTCAAGGCCAGGCTAGACTACATAGTGAGTTCAAGGCTGGCCTGGACTACATAGCAAGACTCTGTCACAAACAAACAAAAAGTTCACTCAGCAAGAGAGGGGACTGGGATGGATGAAGTGAAATTGTGTGTGTTGGATTTGGTTGTTGAAAGATCCAAGTAGATGAAAGGACAGGGTTACTAGTAAAGTGCAGCAAGCTTGGATTATCAAGAGGGCTCAGAGGTGGTGGTAGAGATAATAATACTGGGGTGTGGTCTTATCTCTCCCTTCCAATCCCCATCCTTTTTGAGGTCTCCTGCTGAATTCCATAGTCTTAGCCTCTTAGCAGTTTTTCAGGTGGCCCTATAATGTTGTTTGGGGTTGAGCTCTGCAAAATAACCTTTTCCTCAACCACACAGGATACTGAAGAGATAAGTCATGTGTAGTTTCGACCACTGAAGACCCACAACACTGGCTAGACCTGGAAGGCCCTTTGCAGACTGGTCCTTTTCTCTCACCGCTGCAGGAGTCATGCCAGGTGGACAGCCACTGTGCCAACAGTAGACCTGCCTGCCTGCATGTGGACCTAGGAAGAGGCCATGGACACCACCAGG